ATTACACTTTATTGCAATTGCTTGCTTACTTATTTAATTTCCCAACCAAATTATTAGCTTTATTAAGGCTTCAGAGAGAAATGTCTTATTCGCTGCTCTATCACCAGAGCCTAGCAAAGTGGCTGAAACACAGTAGATGCTCCCTAAGTTTTTAGTAATGAATGAGTCTCAAAAGTAACAAACTCTATAGCAGCCACAACCAAATGGTACACTTCACAAACACACATTAACACAGGCATGGGGAAACACATCTTCCTTCACTCCTGTTGCTGGTCAATTTAAAAAATGGCATCTTTAAATGTAATAAACAATAATGCAACCATACCAGATTGAATGAAAAGAATTACTTCCCACAGTTAGAAAAGCACAGAAGTTCCTTTTCCTTCTCTAAAGTAAGTTGAAATGACTCATCATTTTTCACACTTTCGTGAAAATAACACACAACAAACTCAACATTTGAGGGAGCAGACATCTTCTACCAAAAGGGTTAGAATAAGCATGAATGTTTTGGCCCTTTAGACAGCTCTAGGACATTCTCCCTATCTACGCTACAGACACACGCGCACACACACTCACATACACAGTGTCACAGGAAATATAGAGCATGATTAAACAAAGGAAAAATAGATAATGAGCCTTTAAAAGGTATATTTCCAAATTTAGCATGGTGTCTGGCCCAAAGGAGAAGTAACACCAAATGTGAGAGATGACACCAGAGCATAGCCCCAGCCAACTCCAAACACCAAAGGTCGATGTTGGGGAAAGGAGAAAACCTATGAAGGGGATCAAGATTGCTACTACTTACTATACACTATTATAAGCCAGATTCAAGTAACTTCATCTTCACTGTCCTATTTTATATATAAAGAAATGGCACTTAAAGGACTAAATAAGTAGCCTACAGCTAATAAATACCAAAGTGTAGTTCTTTCCAGTCCTTAGTGCTGAAACCCAAACCAGGCAGGACCTAGTCATTCCTTTAAAGTCAAATTTTCTTTTCAATATCCTCTAGCCTCTACCATAAGGCTTATTCACAGATTTAGAAATAAAACAGATGGTTATGGCTTCAAGGGGAAATATTTTTATTGTATTTTTTTAATTAATGGTCCCTGACAGATGGGGGTGGGCAAGATTTCTCTCTACAGGTACTTTGATTGCAATACGTTGGAGTACAGGGGCTATTTTTCCCCATTGTCCTCTCTAAATAGCTCCAGTTTCAATCTTGACTCAATTTTGGAATTTTTAAAGTGATATGGAAAGGCATATAGTATGTGTGTGTGTGTGTGTGTGTGTGTATACACCCATATATATATATAAATATATATGACCAATATAAGGTATGATGTATATGTACATATAATGTATGTATAATGACCTATATAAGATGTTTTGTTGTTTTTTTTATTTTAGAGAGATTTTATTTTATTTTTTACTTAGAAAG